CACCTTTGGTGGGAAGGTAACAGCGTTCCGTGCACCTTCGGCGTTTAGTCATGTTGGCCACATGACCACAGAGACGTTTTTGGACAGTCCTGGCTCTTCAACTTTGAAACAGAGATGAGCACCACCCCCTAGAGTCAGGAATGACAAGCATATATGTGTGAAGGGAACCTTTACCGTAAGAAAGGTCTATTCCGGGCAAAAAATAAAACCTTTATCCCTCTGGCAGGGTGTGGGCTGTCACCTAATAAGTGACACTATATATAATAATAAGTTCATTATTGAACTAAGGGGTGGATCAGCAGCCTTACATATTGATAGTTCCTGGTGCAAAGGAATGAAGACTTTTTCCATGGCTGTAACTAGCTGCTGTTGCTTATATTGCTTCCAGGTTTGTAAATGTCTCTTTGCTTTTACATCTTCCAGGGCAAGGAAAAAGTTTCCTTCAAGCAGAAATCACAAAGAAGCAGCTTTTGTTTTTATTTTATGCTTACATAAAAATGATGATCTCAGCTAGATTAGGCATTTTTTTTAAAAAACAGGCCTTGTACGTTTTCCCCTCTGTTCCAATGGCTCCAGAATAGGGGAGGCTCTGAGTTTAGCAGAAATCTTGGCTTCCTGCTGCTGCGGCCCAAACAGTTCTGCTAACAACACTCAAAGCTGAGTCTTAAGCTTCTTCGCTTCTTAGCCAGTTCGGCCTGTTTGTTGCAAGGACATGGTGTTGTGTTGCTGGAGTGTGAGAGGGCTGTCGTTTATGGGGCCATATCTTGTGTGAATTATGTTATCTGGTTCAGTTTGCCTTGGAAACTCTAGCCTCCGAACCTGACGTCTGTTGCAGGAGAGGACGATATTCAGCCAGTGTTTGGCAACTCTGAGCAAAACCAGAGAAGCAAAAACCTACTTTAACTTTGTTAAAGGCAGTGGCTCCTAACAGGCTGTATATCTGGATGGTTCTAGTTCCATATGGATCTGTCTTGAAATCAAGGTTATGAACTTTACTTAAAAACTTGTCAATCTGTGATCTGGAAAAATCCTCCAAACTACTCTGGAGATTGGGAGTCCATTGCCAGTTACAGCAGAGTTAGTATTGGCGTGTAGTATTGCTCAGACAATAGGGATGCGGTGGCTCAGTGGCTAAGGTGCTGAGCTTGTTGATCAGAAAGTGAGCAGTTCAATGGTATGAAAAATGACTCTGGGAAAAGATATCTGAGGATTTGCAACACATTTGCAATGGCCCATGCATATCTATAAGTTCAGTCCATGGTATTCTTTGGAATCTTTGGTTTGCATGTGCCATAGTGAGGTTGTTTCTATAGTACTGTCATTCTGTAGTCTTTTAAAGAGGTTCCACCACAAAACCGCGTTTGACTAAACCCCGCTCGACTAAACCGCGTAGCTGACGTCATCAACAGCGCGACAACAGTGCGGAGACAGAAGCACGCTGTAAACGCTAA